CCAGCCCAGCCCAGCCCAGCCCAGCCAGCTCCAAGCGACACCGGGAGCCCTGGCACGAGCAGAGCCCTGGGCTGAGCACAAGGAGCCTGGCACGCTGCCGCAGTGCGGGGCTCCGGGGCCCCGAGACAAGGGGGGCGACCTGCTGCAGGGCCAGGCGGAGAGGGCCCCTCAGGCCCCTGCACCCAGGAAGGCTGCTGGTGCTCCCTGAGCCATGAGCTGCCCAGGGGCCTCCAAGCGACACCGGGAGCCCTGGCACGAGCAGAGCCCTGGGCTGAGCACAAGGAGCCTGGCACGCTGCCGCAGTGCGGGGCTCCGGGGCCCCGAGACAAGGGGGGCGACCTGCTGCAGGGCCAGGCGGAGAGGGCCCCTCAGGCCCCTGCACCCAGGAAGGCTGCTGGTGCTCCCTGAGCCATGAGCTGCCCAGGGGCATTGGGTCCAGGCTGCTCCTCTGGGGCCCAGTGGAGCCACTTGCATCCCTCTGCTCCAACCCGGTCTGTGCCACCCGCTTGCTGCCCCCATCACCACTCCCTGGGCCAGGAGCTGTCCTGCTTCCCCTGAGCTGTGATGCGCCTGCAGTCGGGGAGCGTCTGCCTGCCGGCCCTGGGGTGCAGCAGAGCCGGGCGAGCGGCTCGGATGGCTGGGAGCACGGCTTGATGCTCCAGCTTCTATTTCTGACCTCACCACTTCCTCCCAGGGCGCTGATAGCGCTGCCCCCCCTTCCACGCTGCTCTGCTGTCCCCCACCCTGCCCTGTTTGAGCAGTTTTGTGAGTCAGATGCTCCGGACTCTGCACCCCAGGTCAAGCCATCCTGCTGCAGCCCCATGGCCTGAGCAGCCCTGGGGGCTGAGTCCACCTGCCTCTGCCCCGTGCTTGACAGGGAGTGGGGGGCAGCCTCCTTCCCCACCCTGCTGCACATCTAGCACTGGGCTCATGGCTCCTCTGGGCACTGTCTGCACCACGCAGCACCCCGGGATGCAAAGCATAGCGACCACAGGCAAATATTGTTCCTGGAGGCAAGCGGGAGCGGGTGTGGGCTGGGCACTCTGCACCCTGTGCTCATGCTTCGGTGCACGGGGCACCCAAAGCTGCCGGCCTCTCCCCCCACAGCTGTGCCCCCTTCTTGTGGGGGAGCCCTGCGGCCCCCAGGAGCCAGCGGCATGGGCTTCGGGCCGGAGCTGTGGTGCCCGCAGGGGCACAGTGCCCTGCTGCGGATGCAGGAGTCTGAGCTGCGCCTGCTGGAGCTGCTGAAGAAGTGGATGCTGCAGCGGTCCAAGGGCGACCGGGAGTACGCCACGCTGCTGCACGCCATGTTCACCCAGCTGGAGAAGCAGGAGGGCGCGGGGCAGCTGCGCCCCGGGGACTACACCAGCCCGATCAGCGAGGTAGGGTCTGCCCCTGCCCATGCTGGCCCCGGCTTGGATGCCCGGGGATGCCCTGTTGCAAGGGACTGCTGGAGAGCGGTGCACATCTCCCCCATGTCCCTCTGGGAGCTGTCGGGGTCGGGGATGGTGCCCACAGGCCACGGGCTTTGTGGGGTGTGCCCAGCTCCCAGGGCAGCTCCCTCCATCCCTAACCGCTGCCCCCCCGCAGTCATGCTGGGCACTGGCGAGCCAGACAGAGGCGCTGAGCCAGATCCTGCGGCGCCATGCAGAGGCCCTGGCCACGGGACCCCTGCACAAGCTGGGCCTGCTCATCCGGGACAAGCAGCAGCTGCGCAAGTCCTACAGCGAGCAGTGGCAGCTGCTGAGCCAGGACTACTCCCGGGTACGCGGCATCCACGTCCCCCTGCCCCCATGGGGCATCACGGCTCAGCCCCCGCCAGCCAGGGGCCGGCCAGTCTGGCAAGGACTCTGCCTCTCTGAGCTGGGGCTGGGGGGCTCCCAGCCCCTTTCTGCTATCCCTCCCCTGGCCTGTGCCCCTGCCCCTTCCCCACGCCCTGGGGTCCCTGCCTGGACGAGCATCTCTGTCTCCCTAGACCACGCAGCAGGAGCTGGACAAGCTGAAGGCACAGTACCGCAGCCTGGCACGGGATAGCGCCCAGGCCAAGCGCAAGTACCAGGAGGCCAAGGGTGGGTGCAGTGCAGTGGGGTCCCGGGGCCCCAGCATGTGCGTGGGGGTCTGAGCCAGGCCAGGGGGGCTGGGTGGGGCTGCCTGGCCCCCGCACCCCCCCGGCCCCCTCACCTGGCCTGTCCCTGCAGACAAGGACCGGGACAAGGCCAAGGACAAGTACGTGCGGAGCCTGTGGAAGCTGTACGCGCTGCACAACCAGTACGTGCTGGCGCTGCGGGCCGCCGAGCTGCACCGGCAGCACCACTTCCAGCGCGCCCTGCCCGCCCTGCACGAGGCCCTGCACGGCCTGCACCAGGAGATGGCCCTCATCCTGTAAGAGACCCCGGCCCCACCTGGCCCCTCGTCCCTGTGTGATCCCGGGTCTCCCCCAGCCCGGCGCGGACCCTTGCCTAGCTCGGCATGGTGGGGCTGCATGTGCCGTGCAGGGGGGCCCCGGCAGGCATGCTGGGGGTGCCTGCCAGGCTGGGCTGACCGCCTGCCCCGCAGGAAGGAGACCCTGCAGGAGTACCACATGGTCACCAGCCTGGTGCAGGAGGAGGTAGCGGCCGTGCACCAGGAGATGGCCCACGCCATCCAGGCCATCAACCCTGCCACCGAGTATGACAGCTTCCTGCAGCACCACAGGTATGGCCCTGCCCTCCTGCCCCTGGCTCGGTCCTGCCCCGGGGAGCCCGCTGCTGGCCCGAGCAGCTGGCTCAGGGCGTGGCCTTGCCAGGTATGGGGCGGAGGTGCCACCAGAGCTGCTCTTCGAGGAGAGTCTGCTGGAGGAGTCGGAGAACCTGGCGCCCGGGGAGCTGCAGCTTAACGAGCTGACGGTGGAGAGCGTGCAGCATGCGTGAGCGTGGGCTGGGCAGGCAGGGTGGTGCGGGGGTAGGCACCGGGCAGTCTGGCCAGGCCTCCGGGGCATCCTGGGGCCAGTCCCCGTGTCCCTGGGGGTGTCCCGACCCCTGCACCGTGCTGCACCCTCAGCAGGCCTGGCCGGGCCACGTCTTGCAGACTGACCTCGGTGACAGAGGAGCGGGCGGCTGCCACCGAAACCACCAGCAGCAAGGAGCAGCAGGTCCGGGAGCTGGAGGCCGAGATCCGCAGCGAGGAGCAGAGGCTGGGCCACGGGGAGCGGTGAGACGGGTGGTGCCAGAGGGGCAGGGCAGGGGGCTAGGGGCAGTTCACCCCCTCCACGCGTGGCCGGCACCCAGGGGCTCGGGGGTGACGGGCACCTGTGCACAGGGTGCAGCTGCTGGGGAGGCGCCAGGCGCTGCAGGAGGCGCAGCAGCAGTTCCAGGTCTCGCTGTGCACCCAGACCAAGCTACAGGGGCAGTGGGACATGCTTCGCCGTGAGCTGGACCAGCTGGGTTCACGCGATCCCCCGCCTGTCCTGCCCCTCCTGGACGATCGACAGTCCCTCTCTTCCATGGTGAGTCCGGCTCGACCCCGGCCCACGGGCATTGGTCCATGAGGACCCCAGGTGGGTGCCCCAGCCTCACGCTGCTCCCTGGACCTGCAGGAGCAGGAGCGCATGGGCCCCACCGCCCTGGAGACCCTGAAGAACCACATCTCAGGCATCTTCCGGCCCAAGATCTCGGTGAGTGCCCTCACCCTGGCCCCCATTCAGCTCCCCTTCCTTCTCCCTGGTGCCTCCAGGAGGGGTTTTCTCCCCACTGCCCTCCCAGCCTTGCCCAGTCCCTTGCCCCATGTGCCCTCAGCTGCCACCACTGCTGCCACTGATCCCGGAGGTGCAGAAGCCGCTGAGCCAGCAGGTCTGGTACCACGGTGCCATCCCGCGCACAGAGGTGCAGGAGCTGCTGCTGCAGAACGGCGACTTCTTGGTGCGCGAGAGCCAGGGCAAGCAGGAGTACGTGCTGAGCGTGCGCTGGGACGGCCAGCCCCGGCACTTCATCATCCAGACCAGCGACGTGAGCACTGCACCGGGCCGGGGAGGGGGGACCCAGGGCACAGGGTGTCCCTGGCTCTGAGCCTGCCAGGCCGGTTGTGTAGCACGGGGGCGGGGGGAAATCCCCCTGAGCCTGCCGGGGGCAGGTGGATCTTGGAGAGATGGAGACCCTGGTTGATCCTCCTGTTGCACTGCCCTCCCCTCCCTACCCCATATGCACCAGGCCATGTGCTTCTGTACACGTGTGCATGGGTATGCATGAGTTTGAGGCCAGGAGCATATATGTGCATGGTGTGTGCAGGCTTGCACACATGGCTTGTGTGTCCTGTGTGACACCGACGGCATGGCCTGCCTCCCTAGAACCTGTACCGGCTGGAGGGCGAGGGCTTCCCCACCATCCCGCTGCTGGTCGACCACTTCCTGCAGAACCGGCAGCCCATCACCAAGAAGAGCGGCATTGTGCTGCTCAACTCCATCCCCAAGGTACGCGCCCTGCCGTCCCAGCAGCCAGGGGCTCCGTGGTTCAGCACCCACTTGTCCTGGGGTCTTGCTGGGAGCTGGCTGGCAGGACGGAGCGGGAGCACAGGTGGACAGATGCCGAGGGGTGGGCCTGGGAAATGGCCTGGCACTAGGGCCAACTTGTGGCCTCCCCCCACCCTGACCTCCCTGTCCCAACTGGTGCGGCAGGGGCTGGGCGAGGCCATGAGCTTCCTGCCCTGGGATGGGCTTCTTCCCCGCAGGACAAGTGGGTGCTGAACCACGAGGATGTGCTGCTGGGCGAGCGCATCGGACGCGTGAGTGCCTGCACCAGGGTCTCCCTGCCGGGGGGGCAGGGGTAGTTGGCAAGTCCCTTGCTCCAGCAGCCCAGGCTGGGGCTGGCAGGGGGCATAGACCCATCCCCAGGGCAAGGCCCAGCCCGCCGTGCTGCGGGGCAGGCAGCTGGGCAGCTGCCGGCTCTGGGCCCAGGGAGGCCCCA